TGGTACGTGGAAAGAGGGTTGTCTGGCTGGTGAATGTTGGTAATTCAGGTGAATGAGCAGGTGCAGAAGGAGGACTGAGAGACGAATGAGAGAATAGGCAGTCTCTCACAGAGCTTGCTGAGTGCGCAGTGGCCGTGCGCCCAGGAAGCTGATGGGAGAAGGGAAGAAGGGGCCGGAGCCTCCGGCTGCTGCCGTTGGAGAGGGGCCTGGGGGCGGTAGAGGGCTGTGGGTGGGCGGGCTGGGGGGTCGGGGAGTAGATGAGATGGGGCTGCAGGGTGAGTCAGTCCGCTGTGCAGTGGACCCAGGGTACTTGGCACAGTTTTAGTGAAAAGGAAAGCACCAAATCTTGCTCTTTCAAGAAGGGGGAGAGAGGGAGTGAGAGGGAGCAGAGAGGAAGAGAGGGAGAGGGAGAGGGAGGGGAACAAGCCTTCGAAAGCTGACAGCTGAATCCTCCCAGCATGGCTGAGCTGGCCACTCTGGGGTCTTCCTTCAAAGCCTGTCTGATGGGTGACAGCGTTGTCCCAGTAACCAAACTGGCCAGCATCATCAGGTGGCTAGTTCTGTTTTGAAGGGAAGAGACACCCACTGTCCTTTTAGAGCCAAGGGAGGGCCCCCAGGGACGCCGAAGGGGCAGGAGTGGCAGGAGGTGGGCGCACAGCATCGGGCACCTATGCCCATTCTCCTTGGTCCACCCACCTTTGAACAGTTTGCCTCTTTCAGCCCCCTCTCCATTTTGAGGCATTTTTTCCCTGTCAGTCAGTCCCTTCATATTCCCCAAGATTTAGTTTGGACCCCAAGCAGCCCTTTAAGTTTTTCAGTGTCTCCTTTGCTTAATTTTTATGGTACATTAAAAAAAAAAAACCTCAAAAAATAAAAAATGTTTTATCATGGGAAATTTCAAATGACACACATATAGAAAAAATAATACATTTTTAAAAATCATGATTTTAACTTTCCTATAGCTATTACCCAGATATAGTTGTCATCCAATCCAGGACTCTCCTGTTTCATCCAAACCCCAAACTGTACCTCCACTCCTAACCCCTATACCCCGACCCTCGGGACTGTTTTGAAGCAAATTCTGTATAACGTCTATCATCTCCCCTGAGCATTTTTGAGCATATATCTCTGAAAAAGAATTCTTCTTTCATAAAAATATAAGCATGATACCATTATCACAATTAAAAAATTAGTGTATCCTTAATGCCAGCCAACCTCTCTCCAGTACTGCAATATTCCTGATTCACCCATAAATTTCTTTTACAGCTCCTTGTTCAGATCTGTGTCCAAATGATTTCCTGTACTTGCAGGGGACAGGTGGGGTTTCAGAAGATTGGTGCAGCTATGCGTCCAGGGTTTTGGGCATCTGCCAGAGCTCAAGGCAGAAACACGACCCAGGCTGACCTTGCTTTTCTCACTGAACATGGGCAAGACCTGGGTCCCTCCACAGGCACTGGGAGAGTTAGAGATGTCGCATATGAAGCCCTAAGTCCTGGGTCTTATACACAGTTGACATCAGCAAAGAGTAACTGTTTGAATTATTCCTTTTCCCGGAAGCCTCTGGAGGAGAATTGGGCTGGGGTAGGCAAAATGGAGTTGGCCATCATCCACAAAACAGGCTCCTGGCAGTCCAGGGCCCTCAGTGATTAAGGTAGTACGTGCTCCACATCACAAGCAGGGCAGTCTGCAGTCTGGGGGTCTGGTCCTTTTGGACTTCACAACTCGGTGCCTGACAGCAGCTTTTGAGACCTGGGATCAACAGGGGACCCCGAGGGGTGTTTATCTGCTAGGTGGCACCCTTTTCTGTGACCCCAGGATACACCAGTACCCCTCTGACCGCGGCCCCAACCCTGGGTGCTGCTGAAGTATGCACACTGCTAAAACATTGCAGATATTTTCTAAAAAACATTTCTCAATATGACATGCAAGATGCAGTGGTTTTCTCCCTGCTTAACTCCCAGCCCAACAGCAGAAGCAGAGAGAGAGAATGAACGTTTAACGACAATCTGCTGAGGCCAGGCCCTGGAACATCTCTCGCTCGTACATTTTTTCATCCCAGCTACATCTGATTTCTCTTTATTTTACAGATGAGAGGACTTTGAGAAGTCAGTGGCTTGTTCAAGTTCTGCTAGGACACGGGACCCAGGGTTCCAACCCAGGTTTGTCTGAGTCCTTTGCGTGAGAGGCGGAAGGATAGAGGTTTAGATGTGGACAGAGGTTTAGATCAGATGGGTGGATGGTACGTGGAAAGAGGGTTGTCTGGCTGATGAATGTTGGTAATTCAGGTGAATGAGCAGGTGCAGAAGGAGGACTGAGAGACGAATGAGAGAATAGGCAGTCTCTCACCAAGGTCAAATGCTTACTTGATCTTCCAAGATAGACTTCCTCCGAACAGAGTTGCTGGTGAAATTCCTCACTTCTGTGATGCCTCTTGGTGTATTGACTGGCTCAGATGGCCGTGGGACAACAGGTGAGCTGCCAATCTTGGGATCTACGCCTCAGCTTTGGTGCTAGAGCTGTTCCGTGGTAGTTCTCAGAGCCTGATGTTTTCACACAATGCTGGGAGCAATAGGCAGCTGCCTTTCCACTGCTCTCCTGATAACTAAGTTCTGACCCCAACCACTTGGTGAGGCCTTCTCTGGTGTTAGGTATTATTTTGTCTCCTCTTTATGATCACAGTCACTTTATGACACCACTGCCATCCTTAATTAAAAGAAAAGGAAACTGAGGATTAGGAATGGTATAGAACTTACCCAAAGATGAATAGGGAACACATGCACGCCCAGGATCTGAACCATAGTCTTTTTTCCATCCAAACACACATACCCTTAACCTATTTCCTTTTCCTTATGGCCATTCCTGAAAAAAGTTTGCACTCTTCGGAGGTTCCCTCATGTCAGGCTCACTCCCTGTCCTGTTAGTCAGTTGAACTCCTTATTCAATCAAATTTTATTAGATTTCTCAAGTAACGACTTCCCTAGAGTACTCTACTTGCAATTATCATGGAAACAGGGGCCACACTGTGGCTCTCATGCCGCAATTTAGTCAACGTACGATGCTGGCATTTCACCTTGTCACTGAATGCTAATAGAAGCAGGTGTGAAAATGATTCCAGAGCCTAGAGGGGTTCAAAGCGAGGAGGGAGGGGACCAAACAGAGGGTGGAAAGGTGAGTCAACACCCCCCCACACACCAGAATTGGCTAATATTTACCAGATATGTTTTGGGAGCCTGCTTATGGGCCAAGTTCAGTTATGCACATCTAAGATGTTGAGGCACCAACTCATCTCTGCCAGTGAGTGATTTTGTGAGTTTGGACAAGGTATTTAACTTCTGTGCCTCAGTTTCCTCAGTTGTGAAATGAAAATACCAATACAACCATACTAATGGGTACTTGAAAATTAAATGAGTCAAGCATAATCAAGAGCTTAAAACAGTGATTCCCGCATGGTGGGCACTCAATGAACTCAATAAATATTTCGCTATAATTTTATAACCATTCTCATTGAGATGTCATTTAATCTCTTTGGTAAGAATCATTACTCACATTTTATAGATACCCAAACAAGTACTCAGACAGGTGTGTGAGTTTTCTTTTGGAGAAACACAAACAGAGATTTAAGTCTAAAATATTCTAGCTCTAGCTATGGAAGTGAGCAGATCAAATGGATGTGATCACACCAAATGCACATGATCCATTTACAGAGACTCTGCCATAGATGAGGCATAATCCTGAGCAGTGCAGGGTGTTGCTAGAGGTTGGGTGGAAGCTGGGGAGGAGGTGAAGGGCAAGATGCATATGCCAGTTGTCCTAGTTGAAATTTCTGGGGAACCCAGTTCTGACATGCATTCCCACCAACCTTCTTTCCCGTTTTTTATTTTTATTTATTTATTTTAGAAAGCAGCCAATTTGGCTCATCTTTTGAAGGTCACTTGTCAGAACAATTCTGAGTCTTATATCATTTGGGGCATGAGGGCAGGTAACTTCCTTCTATTTTGGGGCAGAAACTTTGCAACTTGAGCCTAGGTGGCATGTGAGTAAGTCAGCACCAACGCAAAGCCTGTCTCCCCCATCAGACTGTAGGGTGTCCGATGGTAACTGCCCCTACCACTTCACGTACAGTCACATGCCACTAGACTCAAGTTGCAAAGGTTCTGCTTTGCTCCAGTGTCACCATCTTGGGGAGGCTTTGTCTCCTCATCCCTTCCTGATTTATTTTTTTCCTTGGTTCTTGTTACTGTCCCCTACCACATGTATTACACCTATTTATTTTGAATATTCTCTGTTCCTGTCTCTACCCATGGAGATATTAATTCTTAGAGGATTTGTCTATTTTTTCCACTAGGACCTGGACCTAGCCCCTGGGAAAGAGTGCAGGTGGGTTAAAAAGACTTTGAGGAGTAGCAGGGTGAGGGGAGCTGGTGCCATTGAATCACATCCACACATTAGTTCAATGTATGCAAAGCAGGCAGCGGGGTGCTGGGTCCAGAGTATGCATTCAATAAATATTGGCTAATTATGATTATTATGTCTAATTAACAGGACGGTTGTGAGGATCAAGCAGGATAATGTATGCTAACCCATGCTGTGAACGCTGCGTGCTGGGTGCAGAGGTACAATGTGAACAGTCCCTGGTGCTTGGAGGGAGTCTGCACCTCTCTGTTGTGCCTTGTGTCTTGACACCACCTGGGAGGGAGGGAGGCTGCCTGAATGATTGCCCCCTGAAGCTCAGTGAGGGAGCAGGCCTTGTCTTGAAGGCAAAGGCAGGAGGGGGAGCCCCGCCTGGTGGTCTTTCCAGGATTTTTTTTTTTGTGGAAATCCTCAAATGGATATGTTTGTGTGTACATAACATTCTACTCAAACACGTTAATTTACAGAATGACTTTCATGTCTCTTGCTTGCTCTGAGGTCAGTATGCTGGGTACCTGCCCAGGCCATTCTGGGAGGGTCGGGAGGAGACTGGCTGTGTATTGTCAGTAAGAACTGCTTTGGTTCCTGGGAAATAATTTGACCTTCAAGAATCTTGTGGCATAGACTCCCAAGAGAGCAGCCCCATTACCTGCAATGAATTTTGGTTTCCCAAAATGCATTCCTCGGGTGGGTTTCTGCTTTTCATGGCACTTGTTTAAGTTTTGATGCCATGTCCAAAAAAGAACAGATCCCACAGTTTCCTTTCTGAGTTTGAGGTCCATCCTCCCTGAGACCCTCAGCTTGGCCTGAGCATCGAGACCATGTGTTTCTCTAATCCAACCGGAGCCTCTTGCACTGGTGGGGTGTGGGTGTGGGTGTGCGGTGTGGGTGTGGGGTGTGTGGTGTGGGGCAGGGGAGGGCACGCTGTGAGCAGGTGTATGCAGGGCGGGAGCTGCGTGAGGATCGGTCCGTCCATCGCTCAGTAGTCCTTCACCCTCGCATTGGACCCAGGAGGGTATGGCTGTCCTCATTCTGCAAATCGCACAACTCGGGGCACAAGACAGAGAGGCCAGGTCACGTCTCTGCAGTTACACAGCTCATGAGTGCCTGCTGGGGTGGAACCTGGTCTGTCTGTCTGTCTAGCACCACAGCTCGGGCGCTGCTGCAGTGGGAGCACAGATTTGGATGCGGGGCTCAGAGATGGGTGGAAGGGCTTCTACCTGGCTGACTTGGCATGCACATGATAACTAACTTTGCTGGGGCACTGGTTTTGTGACTATGTTGCATGGAGAGGTTAGTGAGCTTTCCTAATGTCACTTAACTTAGTCAGAGCTTGGGGCTGGGCTTAAGGGACAGACACAGTTGTGTGGGCCTTTGTGCTCCAACCCCTGGGAGACCCTGCCTCAGGACAGTGCAGGACAAGTGGTAGAGGAAATGGGGGTGGGGTGGGGTTGAGTCCTGGAGGAAGCGCAGGAGGGAGGGCGTGCTTGGAGGAGGGGCTGGAGGATTTCCTTCCCCGTTGATTCCTGCACGTTCATCAGAAACCTGTAGAGGCCCAGCAAGCGAGGGCCCCACAGGAAACAGATTTCAGGAACATATACGTGACCCACCAAAGACGGATTTTATGAATATACATATGTGTTAAAATTTTCTACATAAACAAGGGGAAGGGGGTGGTGTCCAGGAGACTTCAGAGTGGCCACAAAGGTTTACAGAGGCAGGGGGAAGGGAAGATGGAGGTGGGGCCACGTGTGGTTTGCCACCACTATTTTTAGCAATCAATAAAATGAGAGTGAGGGATGCAGGGGGCAAGGGCAGAGTGGGTCGTAAAGCAGGGACTGTGACTAATTCACCACAACCAAGGGACATGGGGAAAGAGCTCAGAGTGGTTTGTGGCTGTTAATTTTATTATTAAGAATAATAAAAGAATAAGAAATAATGTAATCAAGGTCTTGAATGGAACAGTTGTGAGAATCCTCTGGACAAAAGATGGTGACTAATTCAGGCCTGCTAACCTGACATTGATGAACAAGGAAGGTCCACAGGCCTTTTTCTTCCTTTCAGAGTGGTTTTGTGTTCCCTCAAACGGGCTCGCTGGGGTTCCCCTGCCAGAGAGGAGACCGTGGACAGGTAAAAGCCAGGCTTAATGGAAGTTCTCTCAGTAGGCAAAGATGATGACTGTGTAAATAAAAGTCAAGAGTGCCAGAGGTGGCCAGTGACAAAAATGGACTCTTCCCCTCCAGCTTAGTGAGGTTCAGTTGAAAATCAAATTGTATACAGCCAAGGCACGAGGTCCTGATGTACCTAGGTACCTCATTGTGCATTGGTCTCTGGATCCAAGCCAATCAGCATTTCATCCACACCACAGTGACTTCTTCTGTGTCTGTGGCAAGAATACTTACAATGTACTCTTGGCAAATTTCGAGAATTATTAGCTCAAGTCACCGTGCTCCAGAATTTTTCTCACAACTGCACACTTGTACCCCTTGACCAGCTTCCCCTGTTAACCACGTCCTCGTCTGTGTTTCTGTAAGGCTGTCGTAAAACCCCAGCCCCCAGAGCTCTAGGCTGTGGTGCTATGGGCAAGAAGCTACCGACAGTGTATAGAACTGACATTGACTTTGGGCTGGAGGGGACTTCAAGTGTATTTGTTGTATATTAAGCATGAATAAAATGAGTCAATAAATAAAGTAGGAAATGCAAGATGGTCAAAAATGGACCATCAAAAATGATGTATTTTGAACTAAGGATTAAGATTCATCTATTCCTGTACAATTGTTGATCATTTAAAATGATTAAAAAAAAAAATAAGACCTCTGTGGTTAAGAAGCGTTTGGATGTACTGACTAATCAATTTGTTGCGGAATAGTACCGGGTTCATCTGTATTTATTGTATTTAAAAAAATAAGTAAAAGCAATAAAAGGATGAGTAGGAAATTACAATGCGATTGTTTGTGGCGTCAAGGGTCGTGATGACTGTAACTCTGCATGCCTGTTTTTTAGGAATGATGTCTGTGGGTTCATTTGTGGGGAAGAAACATAGGGGCAGATTCTTGTAACAGTACATGTTTTTTGATTTGGGTGGTAAATTAATGCATGTCTATTGTAATAATAAAAATGAATAAATACAAATACTGATACTCATGTTTGGGCCAGTGGGTGAGACTGTATCATGAACCAAAGATTGTGATTCGTCCTGTTCTGCTCCCCAATCGCCATTAAAAAGTGTAGGCTTTATCATGTTAATATCTGCCTTATATCTCACAGAATGGTGGAGGCCCCACAGTGGGTGTGATGCCACTTTACCAACAGCGACCTTGGAGGTGACCTCTGTGGAAAGTGCCATGGACCAGCCAATGTGAGTTGTGGCTAGTGCTACTGTTTGGGGCTTGGGTGGTTGGTGGATGGATATTTACTGAATTCTTAAACCTGAATGGATATGTAAGTAAAGTCAAAGGTGACCATGCCCAGGACAGTGATGAGACAGTCATGAATCTAGAGTGATAAGTCCAAGTAGACACAACAAGTCACCAAATTAAAAAGAAAAAAACATTAGGCTGTTCTCTGTGTAGGAAATAGCAAAGAAAAATGGAATGTCTACTTAGAGATAAATAATATATATCAGATAATATGTGAGATATAAGTGCTTTTTTGTTTTGGGGTTGGATGGTGGGTTCATGTTTGTTTATGGATTTATTAAAAATAATGGATACATACATAAATAAAATCAGAGGGTCCAGGATGGAGTAATGAAGGTCATATTTAATGACTTATAAACCTTAAGTCATCTATATAATTCTCCAAAGTTGAGAGGCATCAGCCCAATAACGAATGTTTTCATTTACTTTAATAGCATTTTACTATTTATGCACTATGGTTTATGTAAACACTTCCTTATTTGTGAAGTCTGGGATATTATCTGTGAGAGAGGCTCATGGAAGGAAAAAGGTATCAGTAGTCTTTTGTTTGTTGGGTATGATAATATGAGTGTTCTTTCAAGGATTTTAATTTTAATTTTTTTAGTATTGGGGATTGAACCCAGAGGTGCTTAACCACTGAGCTCCAGCCCCAGCCCTTTTTTTTTATCTTTTATTTAGAGACTAATAAGCAACACAGTTTGCTTAAGTTGAAAATTAAGTTGCTTATTAGTGCTTTGCTAAGTTCTTGAAGCTGGCTTTGAACTTGCAGTCCCCATGCCTCAGCTTCCTGAGCTGCTGAGATTATAGGCATTTGCCATTGTACCTTGCTCTTTCATAATTTTCTTTTTCTTTTTTTTGCAGTGCTGGAAATTGAACCCAGGGCCTGAGTACTGCCTAGGTCAGCACTCTACCACTGAGTCAAATCCCCAGCCCTATTTCATGATTTTTAAGGGATAAATAAATTTGAAAAGGGCTAAGCACAGACCAATGAGGCTAATATTTAATAACCCAAGGCCTATTAATTTAACTCTACACAAGTGAGTGCCACTAAAAACAATCCAGGGTGTTTAAGTTTTCTAATAGCTGCTTCTTGTTGGACAGAAAGGACACATACTAGTTTAATCATGCATCATTTATGAGGACTTTGACTCTTATTTGGGTAGGTTAGGTTCATAAAGAAAATGTAAGTAATAGTTGGTGTTTTGAAATCTTTGATTGGACAGTTGTTCAAAGGTGTTCAGAAATAAGTAAATGAATGAGTGAAGAAATCAATGAAGAAATTGAGAGAAAGAAAAATGGGATAACGATGATCAAATCTTACTTTAGTGAGATTGAACGTGAGTTTAACTTAGATTAGAAACAGGGCTCAGTCACGGTTATGGGTTGGATATGTGGTGTCCCCCAAAAGCTCACATGTTAGACAATGCAGGAATGTTCAGAGGTGAAAAGATTAGCTTATGAGCACTGTAACTTAATCAGTGGAATTAACCCACCTAGGTGGATTAATTATGTGGATTAACTATAGGCAGGTAGGGTGTAGCTGGAGGAGGTGGGTCACTGGGTGTGACTTTGGGGTATACATTTTGTCCCTGGTAACTGGGGTTCTCTTTGTTTCCTGGTTGTCATGTCCTGAGCTGCTCGCCTCTGCCACAGCTATCTGTCACAATGTCCTGCCTCACCCCGGACCTGCGGCTAAGGAGTCGGCTGACCATGGAGTGACCTTGAAAACTGTGAGCCAAAATCAACTTTTCTACCTTTAAGTGCTCTTGTCAGGTCTTTCGGGTGATGAAAAGCTGACTAAAACATTCACCCTGACAGTTTCCCATGTCCCACCTCCTTGCCATTCCTCAGGGTCTTCCCTGTGCCAGCACCTCCTGGCGGCACTGCCCGCCTGACTCTCCCACTCACTGACACCCTCTGTGTAGACCATGAGCACATGGCGACTGCTCTCAACCGCCAGGTGAACTGTTGGCTCTCCAAGGCAGGCTACCTTCTGGTATTTCCTGTTCCGTAGAGTTGCTACCTATGTGTTTCACCTGACTAATGCCCAAAGCTTACTTTAGTTCATGTCTGGGCTGTCCTGGAGAGTGGCTGACTTGGTAGGAATAAACTGGGTACAGAACAGAGCCACAGAGCCTCTGCCAGCATAAACAGGTTTCCTGTGAGAAGGACCCCTGGTCACTCCTCAGAGGCTTGGGCGTGGTGATGTCTGCCAGGAGTATTGATTGGTTTTGTTTTTTGGAGAAGATGACGTACATGAACAAATGTCTGGTAAAGGAGAACTCTAGGGAAGAGGAGCACGTGGCCAAGGTGGGGAGAACCCAGCAATGAGCCAAGGCAGGGTCAGGGAACCCCGAAGTGCACCCCGAGGGTGCCCTGTCTCTGTGCGGGAAGGGACTCTGCAGCTAGGGTATTGATTACCTTATTGTATAATCAATCAATGAGTAAATCACTAAAAATTGCATGAGTTTACAAACGAACTCATTAAATAAACATGTAAATAAGTGAATAAAGACCAATGATGAGTGCATGTAGTGAAACAAGAACCATTATTAATATGTTTTTGAAGCACATAAGTCCATTAAACTATGTAAACACACACACACACACACACACATATACACACACATATACACTGGTGGATAGTGGTTCTTGTCTCTAAAAAGAGAAATTTTACATAAATAGGAAAGTGGAAGAGCACCCGTGTTGAGAATTGCAGGATAAGAATTTCTGTTAATCCAGTGACAATATAATTGATCATTTCTGTGGGTCGGGGACAGATTGGCAGATGTTAGATGTATATGGAATTTTTATCCTGTTTCTTTGGATTCCCAGCTATGAATTATAAAAAGGAAGGAGTGAATAAGTTTATGTCACAATTAGTTAAGAGAAGCAGATGATGGGTCAGCCAGGAGAATTAATTATGAAGCTCATATGAGGATCCGGGCATTTGCATGCTGCTCCTGTCCCTGTAGATGGCATCAAGTTAGGCTCCTGCGTGTTTAAGGTTCCCGTGTAGATTCATGTGAAAGGACAGTGATAATGTCAGATTTTATATGACATTAAATTAAGCAGTAAACAAACAGTTACAGAGAGGGTCGAGTGATTTGCCAATTAACAATAAAATAGTAATTGAAGGACGTACCATTATGACCAATGTTCCATGGAACAAAATTAATATTCCTTCAATTGTAAACAGGTGGGATCAATTAAAAAAGAGGAAGAAAACTGTAGCTTAATAATTCATTTGTCTTACCCCTAAGAGAAGGAAAATGTGAGGAAGGGCAGAAATATTGTTAGTGAGGTAAGACCAGAGGTTTCTGGATGTGTTTTGTTAAATATTTAACGTTTGGGCAAGTTGAAGGAAGAGGGCCAGTCCATGCCCTGATGATGAGGGTTGTGTAAGGGACACTGGTCCATCCTCATGTGGTGGTTGTCCCCTGGGGCAAGCTGTCCAGTGTGGTAGCAATTGGAACAACCAGCACAAAGACTGGGGTGGGTCATGTGATCTAGTTTTGTTGTGATAATTATCAGCCAATTAATGAATAAACCCATAACAAATCTGGAAATGAATATACAGCATTGCTCCCCAGCCCAAATCAATGATCAGCACCCTAGGGTTTCTGAATCAAGGATTTCGACTGAACCCCCGTGACCCAAGGACCATTGCGCACACACACCTAATCCATCGTCCCGGTGGGACATGAGCTTGTAGTTCCATGAGGGGGAAGGGCATCTTGGTTTGGGTCTTTTGTAGATCTTAGGTCTGCCCCCAGTGAGTCAAGACAATGGCGGTTACACATTCATTAATCATGACAGTAGGTAATGGATATTAATTATTATTAAATTATTTCTGAGAAGTTGGGTTGCAGTCATTCCGGGGGTCAAGGGTACTGCCATGTGGCTAGTAGCAAACATGGATGTATGTGAGCTTCCGGTTCTTTCCTGCTTGGCGATAGCTAATTCTATTAAGACTTTTATCAGGGGCTTTGAGTGTAGTGCAGGTAGAACACTAACCTAGTTGTACAGGCCCTGGGTTCCATCCCTAGCACTGAGAGAATCAGTTTTTTTTTTAATATATATATATATTTTAGTTGTAATTGGAAACAATACCTTTATTTATTTATTGACGTGTGGTGCTGGGGATTGAACCCAGTGCCTCACATGTGCTAGGTGAGCACTTTACCACTGAGCAGCTACAACTCCAGCTCCAAGAATCAATTTTTTTTTAAGAGAAGGGAAAAAAGAAAAACATAAAAAATTATTCAGAACTTCGCAACTGATAGAAAATCAAGTCTTGGCCAATAGTAAGAGGTGTTATAAGATAGGAGCAATGAACCGACGAGGCCTGCTCAGTACGTTTCTAGTGTATGTGTGGGTGTTGAGACCTCAGGCAGGTGTTGGCATTATTTAGAGCTCTATTCCTGTGTATGCAATCTCACAAACAGTGATGGCATTCTTATTGGTGAATGATATGAAGGAAGGGAGTATTTAAAAAAAGAGGGCAGACATGGACCATGGAAGACCACCTGTCATTTGAAAAGTTAATTGCAGAGCTGGGGATGCATCTCGGAGCACTTCCCTAGCATGTGTGAGGCTCTGGGTTCCATCTCTAGTACTGCAAGTAAGTAAATAAGTCATCGAATGAACTAAGGAATGAAAAGCTCAACGTTCCTCTTGTTCTGATCTACTGATGCCCATGTCAATAAAAGGAGCCTGAGATTCCGCCCAGGTTATTACCTGTCATAATACTGCAGACTGTTTTGCATTTTGTATGAAGATTTAAAAAGTTATTCTGTGGGTAAACAGAAAATAAATGAATAATTGAATGAAATCATAATGCAATTGGAGAAGATGTGGGAGGAAATGAGAAGGTAAACTGAGTTATGATCCAGGAGCACCCATGAGAGAAGACCCAGGTTCTCGCCTGTGTGGGGGTATTTTCTAGACAGAATCGAAATGTGCATAGTTGTGACTTGCCTACAGGGGTGTTTAGAACTAGCAGTTTTTATTGTGACACATAAATTACTAATTGAAGTCAGTAAATAAAGTGGGGGACACTTGGGGCTAGTAATGGCAATGTGATGAAAACTTGGGTACTTAACACGTTGGGTACAGCAGGATTAAAGTCCCACCAACAAAACCTAAATCTGCAGTGCTTGAATTTTCTAAAAACCGCTTTTCACTCCACAGATCCAAGGTACCAAATCTGATTTATTTATTATCCATTGTTGAAAACCGTGGCTGTGGTTTCTGTGGCTGAGGAGCAACGGGACTCGGGTAAGTACCAACGTCTGTGCTCGGGGTCTGCAGGGGCGAGTCATACTATCTGGGAGCTGCCAGCCAGGGAACTGGTGGCTGCTGCAACCAGACAGCATCACAGCTGAGGGGAGGTCGGAGTTCTCACCACAGAACGATAACTGCTCCAGGTAACGCACACATTAATTAGCCAGAGTTCGTCACCCCGCCTCTCGTATACTTGAAAACATCCAGTAGTGCACATGCCTTTATCATTCAATTAAAGAATAAAGTAAAACAAAAACAATCCAAGAACACCGCACTGGGAATGTGCTAGGAATGTGCATTGGACCGTGGATCAGGCCATTTCCCATAACTGGAGTCCACTGGGGACAAAGAAGAGGGTGTGGAACTCATTTCCACAGGTGCTCAAAATCCCACTCTATTTTTGTCTCATGTCTTAAGAAAATATATCTGCAGTTAAAGATCTGGGTTTCCAGGCTTTGAGGGGCAGGGTGCACAGTGCTGTCCTTGCTGTAGCAGTGAAGGTGGCCACTGGGTTGGTCACTGTACTGTCTTCAGTTATGACGAAGTTGAATGATTGACAGGCAGACAGCAGTGGAGCGCAGGGGCTGGTGGGAAGCCGTGGCTTGAACTGCACATGCAGCACTGCCGTCTGACCGAGAGCAGGTCTCGCCTCCCATCTCTGCGGGAAATGGGTCCACCAGCAGCTTCTGCAGTAGGCAAAGACCTGTCGTGGTGTTTTTGTGACTCTTGGATGTTGATATTTTTAATTGCTGAAGCCAGGAGTAAAACACAAGATAATGTGTAAACCATACTGTATGAATAAGTAAATGAAGAAAAGGTATGAGCTTCGATCCATGATAAGTTCTAGGGAAGACAAATCAAGAATTTTGATCAGACTTGAAACTGAAGGCCGTTAGAACCCAGGTGTTTCCTGTGGGGGTGTGGAGACCCCAGTCATGAGTGGCCTGGGCTTCAGTGGGTCCTGGGTGGATATGTGAATTCATGAGTAAATGAGTGTGTAGGTAAGGATAAAGATTGCTAGGTGTGGGTCATTGATGAGGGTGTGTCCTGAAAGAAGTATTATTAGGAGTGAATTTGTCTAATACTGAGTTCCCATGTAACACAGGTTGAAACCGCTAACCCCTTAGTGCACTCAGGAACTCCAGATACAAATGGACAGACATGGGGGCATCTACAAGTCCATGCCGACATTCTGGATTTGTAGGAGTTTGCTACTTGTTGCTTTTATTAAGAAGAAAGAGAAAGCATTTCCATAGACAAAAAATTACAAGACGAGAGATTTAAGTAATAGCTATAGTTTCATGTTCTTTGTGATTAAAAGAGACCAAGCAGGGGCCAGTTGTAGAGAACATATTAGATGACTACAACCTCATGATTAATTCATGTTCACTGAAGTTTATGAAAAACAACAACAAACATTGACGAGAGGTATACAGTCAAGTATTCCTGTGGTCAATGAGCAGGTGGGCAGTTGTTCACATTTATGGTGTTCAAGGGTCAGGTCTGGGCTGGGTGTGGTGGAGCGTGCCTTGGCTACCTGGGAGGCTGAGGTGGAAGGATCACAAGGTAGAGGCCAGTCCATGCAACTTAGTGAGATCCCATGTCAAAAAGGGGTGAAAGCCTGGACTCCCCCACCATGCGCCAGGCACTGGGCTAGAGCCCAAGTACTGGAAAAAGAAAGGTGTAGAGTGCACAGGTCCTTAGGCACCAAGATAACTTAGAATATTAAGGAAGGTGCTCATCCAGTGGTTACCTAAGAGAAGGCCGACTGGGCAACACGTGGCAGATGAGGAGGGCTGAGCTACTGTCTCCTCTAATTTGTAGGGAGCTTACTATTTTGTTTTAAATTTGAGAAAGGGCCAAACATGAGCCAATATTGAGAATGGGATATATAATTAGAATTATGATTAATCCAAATATATTCACTGAGTATTATTTTTTAAAAAGTCCAGAGAGGGTTTACTTGGTCACATCTGTGGGTCGTGAGCATGTGGGTAGACATTCCAACTTGTTGTCTCTTGTGTTGACTTTAACTGCTCCTAAGAGAACAAAGGAATGTGTTCATATCTTGATCAGTTACACAAAAGAAGGGTCAAAATACCAAAGACCATGCTTATTACTGTTACACCCCAATGACTGACCAGATAAATAAATAGCACTTGAGGTTCCCACCAGCCCTTTGGGTAAGTGCAGGGAAATGCATAATTAATTTATTCCATGCATAATTATAGACACGGATAAATACATGAACCACTAGCCATGGAAATCAGAAAAACCTGTTCATCATCTGTGAGGCCGTGCCATGAAATAAAGATTTACATTTATCCAATTTGGTACAAGTGAGGTCCATTAAAATCAATAAATTTAGTTCTCAAATTTATGGGTAGAGAGTGTGGAGACAGATGTTTATGATAGATAGGACTCTTATTCACATGGTGATATTTATTATTCTGTTTAAAAAATAAAAACTAACTAAATCAATAGCTAAAAAGTACCCTTCAGGGAAAGGATGAAATTATGAGATGACACGTTCGACTAATACTGCAAGATAAACTTCATTAAACTACCTGAGTGTAGGTTTTTTCTTTTGAAAGTTTATGTCTTACTTCACCAAATGAACATCCCCCAGTTGATTTAGTGATGCTAAAGGTCTTGGTTCTCACCTCTGTAGGGAGGAAGAGCAGAGATTTATGGCAGTAATAGCTATAGTTTCATGTTCTTTGCTTGGGAGGTTGGTTCATCGTTATTGTCTGCATTTTTCAAAGTCATAAATGAATATATTCATAAATAAGACTAACTAACATCAGCTGTGACCCCTGATGAGTTTGTGCTTAGATTTGGAATTGAGGGTTAACCATAGCCAATAAAAATGATGCCGGATGCTACATTACATTCATTGCTTCCTACTCTGTTTTATTTTTGCTTTGTGAGTCACTGAAGTACTCCCCACTGGTAACGGTTCTGACGATTAATTCCTTGAATGAGAAGCACAAAGGAAGGTGGGCAATATTGTCAGTGTTCCTGATGGAGTGAGATGATGGTTCCGTGGCTATTGGTTGCATCATCTTTAAATAAAAAGGGGCCAAGTGTGGCTGGTATGGAGCTGCTAGAATGTCAATTATTTTATGCGTGCAAAACGATGTCGTCTATTAGCTCCACGGGAAATAGGCACTTAGACAGTTATAAGCAGCATTCAAGGGATGTTGTTTTTTGGACTTTCCGATTTATCCTATTTTTAGTGGATCATTGGATTGAAGAATAAGGAATGTAGATAAACAAAGGAAGAAGATACAGCAAGCCTTGAGCAATAGGTATTCTGAGATGTGTAAATCAAGATTTCGATTAAATTCTGTAACTTACAGGTCTCTTGGGAAATCTCTTCCTCTTTTGTGTGGTGGGGAGAGTATACAAAAGTCAGAATAGTCAAAAGTCCTGCGTAAAGTGCAGGGAAATGCATAATTGTTTCATTCCATGCATAATTATAGACACAGATAAATACATGAGCCACTAGCCATGGAAATCAGAAAAAATCTGTTCGTTATTTGTGAGGCCAAGCCATGAAATAAAGATTTACATTTAAATCAGTTCTTCAGGTTTGTGAATTGTATAGATCAAGATGTGTAAGTGCACGGTGCTGCTTTGCAAGTCTGCAGCAAACAAGCTATTATATTCACTGTTATCATTTTCTGAAGCAATGAGTCTCATGAATGGATCAAGTCATTCTTAGTGTTTTCCCCAGAGGGCATGACTTACTCCATGGGAGTCCTTGTTGTTTTGTGGTTTGGTGCTGGGTAGCTGGTTGTTGGCTTTATTTGGAAAAGAAGCAAATCATTCATGTTAGAAATGATTGTTGGAGTAATTGCCTAATTGAAAGAAGGCCAAGAATGGACTATAGTTGTGCATGTGATAGTTAATATTATTAATCTAATTCTGTCCACTGCCCACTATTTAAAAAGAAAAGGACCCAGTTGATGATATCTGTGAGCAATGAGATTATGGACAGATCCCGGTAATGTTAGTTGATGACATTGTCTTACCTTGACTTTTATTCATTTTGTTACATTGTTAAAAGTGAAAGAATGAAGGAGTTTATATCTTATTCCATTACTTAAAGTATGGCGTATCGTGAACTGGTGAGGAGCAGGGGTCTTGAAACAAAGTTATGATTAATACTTTTTTTTTTTTTGCATAGGAAGAAAAAAGAAATCTAGACTTATCCTACTTTGGAAAAAATGCCAAAAATCAGCAGTTGCATGAAGTGGTATTTCAATCCTGAACTACTGGTGGGTTTTATTCTTTCTTCTTTAAAAATTGAATAGAAGCAAATTATTATTTGAATAAAAAAGTCATGAGTGAGTCAGTTAATGCATAAATTAGGGTAAATCCGGGATCAATGCTTCAGTGATACATTCTTAGCAACACACAAAAGATTAATGAGGTTAGGGTCTTTATGTGGTTAGGGAGTATATAGGTGGATAATCGTGATAGTTTTATTTATTCTCTTGTGTTGGGTGGTAGATTTAAGTGTTTATTATATTAAAAATTAAACAGTAAATAAGCCAGTACATAAAATGTAGCACTATTCTTAAGTCAGTAATGAGAATGTGATAGGAACCAAGGCTCATGATCCATCTAATCCCTCACGACTCAAGTCTATTAAAAGGAGTTAAGTCTACCCTGTTCCATTTTTTATAAAATGTGCATTTTACTTTGCAGAATAAGAAAACCATAGCTGATTTAATTATTCAGCAATAATAGAGACATTGGCTTTTTCTCTGTGGGTAAGGAGCTTAGAGACCATTACAGAGAGAACAGTCAAATTTCATGTGCTGGGTTTACGTGGTTCTTTTATCTCTAAATTATATCAAATAAATGAATAAATGACTAAGTACATAGATAAAACTGTGTCATGCACGAACCAATAGTGAAAACAAAACAAAGTTTGTGATAAATCCAATTTAGCACAACTTAGGGTGCTTTCATGCATTTTTAGAAGTTGTGAATATGAAAATTTAGTTGGTACCATCATTGATTTAATACCTCTTCAACCCTAAATATTGAGACCATGACTTTGTTCAAGTGGGTAAAGACAAGGAGAGGGGATGTGGTGTGAGTTGAGATGGGGGTTCATGGATGTTCCTGGGCTAGTTTGAGCATCTGTCACCTGGAAGTCCAAAATCTGGAGGGCTCTTGATTCTGAAACTTTCTGAGCACAGCTGACCTCCTGTGAGGGGTTGCAGTCAAAATGCAGACACACTAAAAATATTATTTAAAATTATTTTCAAGCCTTGCGTACAGGATGTGTATGAAATATAAAGGAATTTCATGGTTAGACTGGGGTCCTATCCCTAGAATATCTCATTATGTATATGCAAATATTCCAAAGCCAGAAAAAATCCAAAATCTTGAAGCATTTTCTGGTCCCAGCATTTCTGTGTTGTGTTAGCTATCTATTGCCATGTAATGAATCACCCCGTGGCTTCGTGGCTTCAAACATCAAAAATATCAATAAACTTTGATCTTTCTCTCAGTTTCTGTATAACAAGAATCCAGGAGAGGCTGACTGGGCAATTGTGGCTTGTGGTCTCTTGTGAGGTTGCAGGTGAGAGTTAGGTGGAGTCACCTCTGCTGGGGACCTGAGAGTGCTGTGGGTCAGCCTCCTGGCTCAAGTAGAGCCGTCAGTCCTGCCGTATCCTGTTTGTCAGAAAAGGCAATCATGATGCAGGTGGAAGATCTGACTCGAGACTCTGTTCACCCCGGGGGTCCCTGGTGCCATCTTGGAGGTTGCCTACTACATGTGCTATCTTTTTGGGGGGTACAAAGGGATGCTCAACCACTGAGCCACATCCCCAGTCCTGCTTTTTTTTTTTTTGGTATTTTATTTAGAGACAGTTTCTAACTGAGTTGTTTAGTGCCTCACTTTTTGCTGAGGCTGGCTTTGAACTTGTGATCCTCCTATCTCAGCCTCCTGACCCACTGGGATTACAGGTGTGTGCCACTGTGCCTGGCAGTCATGTACTGTTTTTACCATGGAGACAGGTTACATAAAAGGAGGGCAAGCACAGACGAAGTACAGATGCAGGGTGATACAAAGCAAGGAAGTTGAGTGTCAATTAACCCAGTAGAAGTATCTTGGTAGTATTGAAGGATCTTGTTCAGAGGTTTATATTTCATGGATGTTGACTTTTTAAAAATTTTTTTTAGTTATGAATTCTTCTTAGTTATGTAGGACAGTAGAATCCATTTTGACAAAATTGTACAATCATGGGGAAAATCTTACTCTGATTAGGACCCCCTGCTTGTGGGTGGGCACGATGGTGGGGTGCACCTAGGTATTTTCAGGGTTGTCAACTTTGTTAGCATTGGCGACTAATGAGTGAAGGGCGGAGGGATGGCCGAGTGAGGAAAGGTGTGCTGAGCCTGGACAATGATGAGTATTCTGGGGTGTCTGAATCAATGATTTTGATTAAACCCTGTAACTCTGAGGTCCATTATGAGAGCTGCCTTTACTAATCCCTATGTGATAAATTATCTCACAGCAGAAGGTAGGGACATTCAGGATTTTGTTCTCAGGCTACCAAGATTCATGGGTCTGGATGTTATTACTGTAAGTACATTAATAAAAGAATAACAAGGAAAATATGTAAATGAGTGAAGACAAAGGATAACCATACATAGCTTTATTATGAGACTTGGGTGATATATTTATTATTATTTTACATTTGAAGTGGTCAGTTCCAACACAAATTGATTAATTCTCATGCCTGTTTGGGTAAGGAGCACCTAGAGATTAAATACTGAGAAATTAATGTTATTGTCTTACATTATGTAGGGTGTTGGTTGCTTGTTGGAAATAAGATCTACTTGGTTATATCTAGGAATAAGAAGCACATGGACAGCTGTTAAGGCCATTCAGATTTCTTCCTTCCTTGTTTTTATTAATTTTTTGGCTGGGGATTGAAGCCCAGGACCTCATGCATGCTAAGTACCAGCACTCAGTTCCACCCCAAACCCACTTCAGACTTGTCCTGCCCTTCATTTCCGTGCTCACAGATGCTGATGAGATTGTGAGTGAATTTATAAATATCTTCATCTTTCGGCCAATTATTTTGGAGAGGGTAAAGCAGTATTTTCTAACCTTAGCAGTATTGATATTTTGATCTGGATTTTTTTTGTGTGTGGTGTTGTTTAGTAACTCTTGGTTTTAGGATGTTAGTTTCCCCCATCTTAATCTAGACATTCAATGCAAGCCCAATAAAAATCCCAGAAAATTGTTTCTGGGGATGTTAACAAACTCATTTTAATTTTTTCATAGACAACAGACTCACAATTATCCACACAACATTGGAAGCTCAGTAGTGTTCCACTGGGTGCATGGACCATATTTCCCTAACCCATTCATCCATTGATGGACATTAGGTGGATTACATATGTTGTCTGTTGGGAATAGTGCTGCCAAGAACACAGAATTTTGTTAACAACCCCAAAATGATCTTGACCATCATTTTGTTGACTAAAGAGAGGGATAGACAGAGGTTAGTATTTTCAGGATTCATTTTTAGTGTGCTTGCATTTGTATATTTATATATTATTATAGTCAAATAAATAAAATTTTTTAAAATAAGATAAAATACAGATCAATGAGAATGAGGTTTTATGAGAAGATTATGATTATTTGAGTTCCACCACTGATATTCATAGGAAAATACTTAGCCTGCTGCCATTTTCTTTAAAAAAATTTTTAGATGTAGATAGACACATACCTTTATTTTATGTATTTATTTTTATGCAGTGCTGAGGATCGAACCCAGAGCCTCACTTGTGTTAAGCAAGTACTCTTCCGCTGAGCCACAACCCAAGCCCTACTGCCATCTTTTTAAAAAATTTTTTTTTGAGAGAAAGAGAGAGAG